CACAGTATCTCGTGAGTTACAAGGTGAGTATTCCCAGGTTAATACAGATAATGAACATGAGCTAAACTCTATGGACAGGCCTGTGGGTAGCCCCTTCACATAGAGGCACACGGGTTAAATACACACAAATGTGCACATGGCAACCCTGTGAGCGGGACTCTATTGTTCCATTATTTATAGATGACAGAACACGGCTTTTTGGAGGTATCTGCCCCAAGACACACAGCTAGTAAGTCACCTGAAGTAAGAAATACGAAAAGCAGAGCTGGGTGCAGTGGCTCACACCTGTAATCCCAGCGCTCTGAAAAGCCAACGTGGGAGATATTAGCTTGAGCCCAGGAGTCTGAGGCCAGCCTGGGCAACAAAGTGAGACCCCATCTCTACAAAACGTAAGATTAGCAGGGTGTGGCGGCACGCACCTGTAGTTCCAGCTACTCTGGAGGCTAGAAGGAGAGGCTCGCCGGAGCTCAGGACATGGAGGCCACAGTAAGCTCTGATTGTGCTACTGTATTCCCAAAAAAAGAAACACAGAAAGCAATATACCCTAGAAACACTCCACTGCTATAGTGTTCCATGATCGATTCTTTATTCAATAGGGAACGAATGTTCAGTTAGAACATTTAAAAACATTTTTCTTTCAAAAGGACTCTTTTTTTAGATTAAAAAAAAAATTCGCACAATTTTATCTGCAGAATAATTGCAACCTTCTTCAAACTAACTACAATTTCTAGATTAAAAAGACCCTATCAAATCGTGACAAATACATTAATCTAATGATATAAAACTGAAACTTTAAATATTCATTCTAAACAGAAAACCTTCAGCCAGGCACAGTGCCTGTAATCCTAGCATTTTGGGAGGCTGAAGTGAGAGGACCCTGCTTGAGGCCAGGAGTTTGAGATCGGCCCGTGCAACAGCAAAAGGCTCTGTTTCTACAAATGTAGAAACTATGGCCAGGTGCGGTGGCTCATGCCTGTAATCCCAGCACTTTGGGAGGCTAAGGAGGACAAATCACAAGGTCAAGAGTTCGAGACCGGCCTGGGCAACATGACGAAACCCCGTCTCTACTAAAAATACAAACAATTAGCTGGGTGTAGTGGTGGGTGCCTGTGATCCCAGCTACTTGGGAGGCTGAGGCAGGAGAATCACTTGAACCTGGGAGGCGGAGGTTGCAGTAAGCCAAGATCGCGTCACTGTACTCTGGCCTGGGTGACAGAGCAAGACTCTGTCTTGAAGAAAAATTTAAAGAAACATAAAAAATAAAACTAGCCAGGCGTTGCGGTGGCATGTGCCTGTAATCCCAGCTACTTGGCATGCTGAGGTGGAAGGAGCACTTGAGCCCAGGAGTTCGAGGCTGTAGTGAGCTGTGATTGTGCCATCGCACTCCAGCCCAGGTGACACAGCACGACCCTGTCCCCAGAAAAACCCTTCAAGGCTTCAGCCATCTTGACGCTCAGCTCCTAACGTCCCTGTGGCTTCTCCCACCTGTCAGAGTCCCAGCCACCACATAGCACCCCTCCCCGGCCACCTCCCCATCAGAGCCCACCTTTCCTCCTGGACTAGAGCTTTTCCCAGTCACATCTGGGAAGGGCCAGTCTAGAAGGTGAAATCTCTGACTGGAAACGAAACTTTACTCCCCACCAAACCCACCTCATCCTACACGTGGAACATGTTAGACATTCATCAGACAGCAGGGAACCTCTCCTCCTTTCCCAGAACAAAGGGAGACGTGGGCATTTCCACCCAACTGTGCCCTGGAAGGCATGAGGCCATGATGATTGCGGCTGCATCTGTAGGGAAGAGGACACCGGCCTCCTGGTATGCCAGGCTGTCCTACCCTATGGGAGAAAATTCTAAGCAAGCCTCGTCTCTACACGGGCAACATTTCGACGTCATCTCCATGGCAGGTGTCAAACTGTCCCTTGGTTAGTTATCAATCCTGCAGTGCGGCCAGAGGAAGCAACCAGTGTCGAGGCCATGGTGGCTCCGCAAGCAAATGGTGGCCCAATGTTCCTTTGGGGCGTGGGCCAGGTGCTCAGCTGAGGCTCCACACACATGCTGTCACAGCCCCCACACACCTGCCCCTTGTTGGGAACCCACCTCCTACACACGCAACACACTCCAGCCACAGCCCCCAGCTCCCACCATCGCTCTGGCCTTATGTGACTTCAAAATTTCCAGCAGGAAGGCTGGGTGCGGTGGCTCACACCTGTAATCCTAGCACTTTGGGAGGCCGAGGCAGGTGGATCACCTGAGGTCAGGAGTTCGAGATCAGCCTGGCCAACACGGCAAAACTCTATCTCTACTAAAAATATAGAAATTAGCTGGGCGTGGTGGCATGCGCCTGTAATCCCAGCTACTTGGGAGGCTGAGGCAGGAGAATCACTTGAACCCGGGAGGCGGAGATCGCAGTGAGCCAAGATCGCGCCACTGCACTCCACAGCTTGGACAACAGAGCTCGACTCTGCCTCAAAAAAATAAAAAATAAAAAATAAAAAAAATTAAAAAAAATTCCAGCAGGAGGCTCTGGCTGCTGGCACAAGTGAAGCGGGTCTTGCCTCGGACTTCCCATGCAGGTTGGCTCTTGGATAAGAAAGTGCACAGGCTGGCAGGGCAGGAGCCTACAGCCAGCTCCTGCCGCCTCGCCTCACTAGGACCGCATGCCGCCGTTAGACTCTCCTTACTCCAGTGAAAGATGAGGAAGTGGGCGCCACCCTAACGCCCGCTGGCAGTGGCAGGCTCGGGACCAAGCAGGCCGTGACCTTCCATCCTCTGCCTCCCCTTCCTGGTGAGTTCGGACCCCCTTCTCCATGAAGACAGAGTCTAAAAACATGTCCCAAAAAGAAATGTCCCAAGCGGCAGGTAACAACCAGGCTGCCGCCTCCCCAAGCCTCTTCCACTTATTGGGACCAGAAGGAGATAAAAACGCCAAGTTTAAGGCCAGGTGCCTTTGAGTAATCGATGTGCCATTCGACCCAAAGCCAAGATAGAGGGACAGGGCTCAGCGCAGTACAAGCGGCATTTATCCGCCGAGCATAAGGGACGGATGGGGAGGCCGGAGGGGGACACACTCCTCCTCTGCTGTCACCAGGAGTTGGGGACTTTTGAGGAACACCTGGGAATCCAGGCCTCTTAGGAATCTCATTCTCTGGCTGATTACACTTACGTATTCGTTGTCTGTGGCCTCAGAAGGATGGCCTTGCCCCTCTAAGATTTTTTTTTTATTCATAAAATGTTTCCTTTTTAATTTTTACTTTTTATAACAGAGATGAGCCTTGTCATGTTGCCCAGGCTAGTCTCGAACTCCTGACCTCAAGTGATCATCCGCCTCGACCTTCCAAAGTGCTGAAATTACAGGCGTGAGCCACCACGCCCGGCCAAACCTCTAAGATTTTCTGTGGAAACCTCCGGATATGTGGTCACCGAGGAAAGGGGAGTGACCGTACAGGACGGCAGCCAGCCACTAGCTACAGGACGGCCCTAAGAGGAGCCCGTGAGATGGATGTGGCGGGGCTTGGCCTGGGGAAACTGAGTCAAGGACAAGTGCTCAGGAAACCCCACATTTAGCGCTTCCAGGAAAGTCTGCTCTGAAGCTTCTGGGGGCGACAGAAGAAGGACATTGTGTCACCAGCTCTCTTTTTCCTCCTGTTTTTACTCATGGCAAGGCTGACGTGGAGAACAGAATCCCTCACTCCCCGGCACGGGCAGAGAAGGCAGCAACCCCCAAGCCAGTGACTCCAACTTGCATTTCTGGTCTCCTGAAACACGAAACACCCACATTTAGGGGCAGGCCGAGGCAAGCAGCAAGTGTGAGATTTGAACCCTCAGCTGCCTCTGTGGCCAAGGCCTGCCTTCTTTCGACTCTGCTACCAAACTTTCTTCCAAAGTATTTATTCTGAAGACAGAAAGTTATTAATTTGTTTTCCATAATGATTCACGCCAGCACTCCCTTGACTAGCAGGCCTCCTTTGAAACACTTTAAATGAGTCTGCTTTTTAAAATGCAATTCACATGTAATTTCCCAGCCAGGCTGTATAAGAGAGGGGTATCTCTCCCAGAAAGGAGCTTTGCCTTCAGGCCGGTTCCTATGTCCTATATGGAGGAGCCAAGGGCTGCAGAGAAGATTCTCCAAGCCTGGAAGCTGTGGGCTGACTCGACCCCTTCCATACAAGGGGAAGGTGCAGGAGGGGCTGGGGTCTGAGGCCATGCCATCGGGACCCATCTGGCAGATGTCACCCCGAAAGCCATTCCCACAACTGCTCCTGTGCCTGCAACACTCTTGGGGTTTTTTGTTTGTTTGTTTGTTTTTCTGACTGAGCCCTTAATAGGGGTCGCAGGGAAGGAACAAGGGACCCAGTAAACGCGCAGAAAGATACCACCCTGGCAACTCAACACTGTCCCCCGCAATGCATACTCATGAGAGAAAATATAGGCGCATGTAAAAAGCACATTTCGACTGCCCTTTATGGAGTATTTCAAGAAACAGAGAGGCATTTAACAGGCCTAGCAGGCGAAATGTCTGCTTTACGGGAAGTGTTAGGCGCGTTGCTATGCCCAGATGCACGCAGCCTTCAGACACTCCGCCTGGCCCAGCACCGGGGAAGCAGGCCCCAAGGACCTTCCATCCCACAGGATCCCTTATGGACTTTGGTGGCATGCCAAGCCACACAGGACAGGGCTGGGATGGAGTCAAGGGGCTGAGACACCCACACACCTGCCCACGTGTTCTTACAGACCCAACTCGTCCAGTATCTGCACCTGGAATTAGCTCTTGCTTTCCACATTTCCAGACAACCTATCAAGTGCCATGTCCCTACGGCCTGCAGGGTGGCATGCGCGTTCTGCTGGAAATGGGACTGAAGACATCAGGGGAAAGAAACGGGTTGCCCGCCAGCTGCGCGTTCGGTCTGATGAAAATGAAACGCTCCCGGCGCATAGCCTGAATATGCACCAGCACCCTAAGATCCCTTCCAAGCGATCGCGACGGTCACCCGCCTCACCTCTGGAGTGTTCTTCTTGAACTCTCGGCTCTGTTCGATAAGCCGCTTTCTGGACTGCTCGCTTTCATCCTGCCGGTTCGCCAATACCGTTGCGGTGGCATCGAGTTCCCTCTGTCGGGGGAAACAGAAAAGGAAAAGCGAGATTGGCATCGCGCTGTGCACCAGAGGACGGTCCTATTTGCATCTGACCAGAACACTGCGGGAGAGACCCCGCTGGCTCTAGGGACTGTGGACTCGTCGGCAGAAGAGGTGCTGGAGGGCGGCGGGAAAGCAGCAAAATGAACATAACCCACCCGTCCCACGTCCATCCCGCGTGCCGTGGTTGAGAAAACCAAGCTCGTTCAACGTCACGCGTCGTGCATCAATGTGCACGCCATAAATGACTCTGTTCCTGAAATAGAACACACAGAAACACCTTTCTTGCTCCAGCCAAACTACCAGGCCAATGGCCAAAGGACCCGCCGCCCTGAGCTGCTCCACACCTATTCTTGCCAAGGGTCCCTTCCAGCCGCACTCCTGAGCTCCTGGCCCTCTGCTGAGCCGGCCCCTCCTCGGGGGATTCCGTGTGGCCGTCCTTCCATACTGTGGGCCTGGATCTCTGGGAGTAATACTTGGTTTGCGTTCATTCAACAGATATTTACGGTGAGCTCACTCTAGGCCGAGCTTCATGTTCAAGGCCATTAACCTATGATTAGTTTTCAAGAGGGACCTTTAAGAGGTAAATTTCAAGAAGAATTATTTCCGGTATCAGGTGCACGTTTTGGAAATGAGGCGCCGGGTGTTGGTGGTTATTCTCAAATCGCAGTGCTCGCGGGGAACGCTGAGGACCACCAGGAGTGGGTGCCCCATGAGGGACCTGCCGGGGGGCTGAGGGCTCTGGGCTCTGCTCCCCGCAACAAACCGATCATCAACACGCCAGAGAACCTGTGCCCTGGCCTCGCAAATTCTGGGAAGAGCTGCCAAGAGGATCTGTTTCAAACAAGCCTGCAGCAGATGGCCCCAGAATGGTGTTCCAGGCTGACAGCAGGAGCCCAAGGACACATTGCTGTCGCCACCAAAAGGCCTGTTTTCCTGCCGAGTCGCTTCGGCGACTGAAGACACACAGCGGCCCATTCTGCTGGGATCCAAGGTGGCTGCTCCAGCTGGCTTTTCAACAGTGGGGACCGTCACCCTGCGTCCAAGCAGAGCAAGGACCTGACATTTCAAAGGCTGAACGGCGAGAAAAATCAAACCTCAAGATTGATCCCCAGGCCTCCAAGAAGCATACGACAGCCTCTCCTTCTCCACCCCCGCCACTCATCTCAGGAGTCTCACCGGCTTTCCCCCTTGGCGGAAATAAACCAGCAAACCTATAAGCTCCTGCTGGGAAATGCTTCCTTGGTACCACTACGGGGTGGGGGCCACGCCGGATGAGATGATAGCGTCTATTGCTGACAACTTAGAAGTCACAGACAGGCTGAGAGCAGTGGCTCACGTCTGTAATCCCAACACTTTGGGAGGCCGAGAAGGGTGGATTACCTGAGGTCAGGAGTTCGAGACCAGCCTGGCCAACATGGCGAAACCCCATATGTACTAAAAACACAAAAATTAGCCAAGCGTGGTGGCACACGCCTGTCATCCCAACTATTTGGGAGGCTGAGGCAGGAGAATCGCTTGAACCTGGGAGGTAGAGGTTGCAGTGAGCCCAGATCGTGCCGCTGCACTCCAGCCTGGCAACAGAGCGAGATGTTCCAAAAAAAGAAAGAAAAGAATGAGAAAGTGAAGAGAAGAGAAGAGAAGTCGTCGACACTTTAAAAAGGAGGGGAGGAAAGAAAACACACACATACACACTCCAATAAAACAACAAATCAGGCGACGAGGAGAAGATGCCACCACGCCACACTCTTCTCCCCTTAGTATTTCTGGCACTCAGGCACATCTTGGGCAAACAAGTCCTAAGGAATAACGTGGGCTAGAATTCAAGAACAGATGTCAAAGCTATTGCAGAAAAAAGGGAAACAGTGAACATTTTGATAGACCACATTTGAAACACATCCCAGTTAAGGGAAGGCAGGGGGAAAAAAAAAAAAAAAAAAAAGAGCAACCAAAACCAATGTGGTGGAACGGGGGATACAGATAAGAGAGGAGCAGTCACAGCGAAGCAGAAGGCTCTTCAAAAATATAAACAATCTGGAGGGAGGAGGGCTTCGACATCTATATTTAAGCAGCAGCAGCCGAAGTTATAAAAGGAGCCTTCAAAAGAAGGCGGGGAAGAAAGCCAATATTGAAATATGACAAAAAAGAAAAAAAAAAAAAGAGTTGATGTTTCATTCCAATCGCACACAGACACAGAAAACTTAAGAGAAAAACAAAAAGAACATGGATTGCTTTCAGCCGGGGGCGGGGGGGGGGGCCCTACTTCCCCCACTGCATGGAAGCCTGGTGGGGTGGGGGCGCTGGGGGCGGTTACCCAATCAGTGGGCATCTACTGATGTCTTGGAGCCAGCAGGCGCTGGAGGTATGAAGGGGACTGCAGGGTCCCAGCCCCAATCCCCAGCTTCTCACGTACTGGGTCAAGTGGGGGGAATGTTGTGGAGGACGCCAGATGAGCAGGGGGTCTGTGGGACCCTCTGTCCCCCTGGGTCCCCACCTGTCCCTCCCTGGGTTGATCTGTTAGGGAGCCTACCTGGGGGAGGAGGGAGCTAACACAGGTGGCCCCGGTACAAGGTGAACCCACCTTGATCCCGGGGCTGCAGAGCCAGTGTGCCTGCGGTAACTTGCTGCTGGCGGTCGGGGACTCGACGGGGGTCTGCCGCACTCCCTTCCCCGAGCCTGCAGACATATGCAGGTTGGCATGGGAAACCCACGGGGGTCTCCAAATTTAACACCGAACCGCCACCCGCCACCACGGAAACAGATTGGCACAGCGAGGAGGAGAGACTGAGCCACAGACGAGGCTGATCAGATGTAAGGCTTGAAATCTTTGACCGGGTCCCTTGCAGAGAAATTTTTAAACAACAACAACAACAACAACACACACACACACACACACACACACACACACACACACACACCAGCACCACCAAATCCTTTCTGAAGGACCCTAAGGCGATCTCGGGCTGTGGGAGGAGACAGCAATTAAACATAAGCCAAATACTGTTTTATTATCTACCAAGCCTGCCTATCCTCAAAGTGTCAACTACAGTGACACATTAACAAGGGAATGAAATGCATGTTGGGGAGGTAGAGGTGGGGGTCCCAAATGCGGCGCCCTCGGCCCATGAGTCACGGGTCACATGTGAGAAGGCGTAGAGAGAGTCGTCACATCTGAAAGGCATTAAAAAGTCACGAAGAGCAAAAAACCTGGACCCAACCTCCTCCACGCCCAGCAATACCCTGTCGGCATAACCCCTCACGGATTTTTCAGTGTATTGTACGGGACACGATGATCATCAGATACATCCAAGCCACAAGACAAACCGCAATACATTGTTGAAAAGAATATCCATCCATATGCTCGCATAGGCTGTGATTATCTCCAGAGAGATACAGAAGAAACTTGTGACCGTGCTTGGCTCTCCGGAGGGGCGGGGCAGGTCAGCGACTTAATCCACAGTGTGTATCTTTGGGCTGTCTTGCCATATGCGTGCAGCATCTAGCTGGAAAAACTGCAGCATCTATTAATTTATATAATCCTGCTAAATGGGAACGAGTGCGTACGCAAATGGGGACGGGAATAATACTTTATGTAATGCATAGCATGGGACACGTGAGCCTCTGCGCTAGGGTCTGCCTGTCCACCTGCAGGGGCAGAGGCCTGGAATCGACGGCCTCGTGGGTCTGGTGATGCAAGAAGTGAGGCAAGTATGTCCTTTGTCAAAACAACAGCTGTTTCTTGCACAATACGCTGCCCACTGGCTGGTCTGAGTGCATGGAGGAGGGAGGGGAGGGGTGGTGGTGACGGTGGCCACTGCTGGTCACAGAAAACACCACCCAGCTAAGCCAGAACTCTCCCGAGGAAGGCAGAGGAACGCATCTGTGCAGAACTATCTAGAACTCCTCTGCAGCTAGAAACACCTGTGGGCCCCCAGTCCCAAGTCTCAGGCCATAAGAAACTGGCACTTCCAACCAGGCTGAAAGAGACAGAAACTTTACTGAGAAAGTGTCTGGCAAGGAGAGGCACCTGGACGCAGAAAATGTGTCTATCTTTCCAAGAGATCACGGGATGACTGACGTCAGGAAGCAATGGGGACCCGCAGGGGTCAGGTTTCAGTCTCTCCCAGCTGGCCGCCTCACACCCCAGCCCTCACTGGACGGCAACTATCCCTCACTCAAGTCAACGCGCTGAGCTGACCAAGAGTTTCCCAAGTGCAGACTCAACAAGTGGGTTGGGAGCTCCGCCCTTGCTCAGAGGAACTTCAGAGCCCAAGGCCAAGGCTCAGGTCGTCCACTGCAGGACCGAGGTTAAGGACAAGGCCCAGGCCATGCACTGCGGGACCGAGGTTAAGGCCAAGGCTCAGGTCATCCACTGGAGGACCGAGGTCAAGACCAAGGCCAAGGTTCAGGCCATCCACTGCAGGACCAAGGCCAAGGCCAAGGCCAAGGCTCCGGTCGTCCAATGGAGGGTCAAGGCCAAGGCTCAGGTCATCCACCACAGGACTGATCCAAGGCCAAGACCCAGGCCCAGGTGGTCCACCAAAGGGACAGGCTGGGCCTATCACCAAGTTGGCCTGGCTGCTGCTGTTTCAGCTCAGAACCCAAGGGCTCTGTGCACCCAGGCAGCCCCCATCCCATGACGCTGGTGTACAGCCAGGGCACTGTGGATAGCTGGAATCCTGTTTTCCTCACCAATTACAATTTCTGGGATGCTTTTTCTCCATTTCTGACAGCTCCTCAAAGGGCAAAGCTCCTAAATTGGACATCTCTCTCCGCCCCCAACTCCAGCCTTTCAGCCAGGCATTTCTGATGTATTAAAAACAAAATTAAAATACTATCACATAAACAGCCACCTGCTTAATAGAAATTGTAGGAAATTTTTTTTCCCCAAATAAGTATTTTAATAACACCAGAGAGCCATTTGGATTTTCTCTCTCTCTCTCTCTCTTTTTTTTTTTTTTTTTTTTTTTTAACAC